ATACTAATCAATGCCTTTTGATATAATGAATAATAATAATCTTTTATTTCCTTTAAAGATAGTCATGAAAATAATAATAGGGACAAAGAACAATTCACATATAACACTAATCATCGGTTTTAGAATTACATCACAACAAGTAGTTTTGAAGTTTATAAGAGGAGAAAAAAAAAGAATTCACCATAAAACTTTAACAACCATGTCAATTAAAACAAAGTTTATGAATAAATATTTGTTTTTAATTAGATTCTAAATGAAGTAAAGGTTTCATAACTGTTTCCCATTCTTTTGACCAATTTTCTTTTGATTGATTAGTACTTAAATTTGATTTCAAATTATTCAATTTTAAACAGCGATTAGGAAAACCATGAAGTAAACTCTTTAAAACAAAAAAAAATTATAATAATAAATTCAACAATTTTCATCAATCAATAAATTCTTTAAACCTGTAACCGATCACATAAATCATTAGCATCTTGAAAAATAATTCCATTTTGATCACGTTTAACTAATTCATCAATACTATTTTAAACATAAGAAAGAAAGAAAAAACACGAACTATATCAATTCAAATTTTATAACTCATACCAATCATATTCAACTGAACAAGCCGGAACACCAACAGCAAACATATCAACAACTTTCATTGGTAAATCAAAACCACTTGATGATTGATGAAGACTTACACCAATATCCGCACAACCTATTAATAAAGTATTTAATATTTATATTTACAAAACAGCAGTGAACAAATGCTGTGAGTTCTGAACTTCTGGAACTCTCAAAAGTACCATTTCACTCACGAAACTCTCGGAAGAGTGTAGTGTCAGTGTGGTCCTAAATTTCGGTTCCCTCTGTACCCACAATCACACGTATATTTGAAATCCACGGAATAGATTGTACCGTAGATTTGTCATCTTTCATAGTATTTCTGCCATCCCGAATTTGAGTATGTAAGATACTATTGCACTTGTTTAACATTTGTGAATAAGCAAAGCGTGATGATGTCAATTTCGTTTATAGTGCTATGGTTAATTTGCTAACTAAATTTCAACAAATTCTTAAATTCCGAGGTTTTCATGGCTGAAGTTGTACTTTTTGAAAGTTCCATAAGTTCAGAACTCACAGAATCTGAAGACGTCTCTTATAAAATAAAAGATATTCATATTCTACCTAATAATAATGGATAATCATCAGCATCAAGCCATGGAAAACAAAATTCAATATGTCGATATTGATCACGTTCACGTTCAACTTGTTCAATAAATTGTTCTTTTAATGGACCTTTTCCTATAACAAAATAAAATATTTTCAATAGAATTCTTCGAAATAACATTGAACAAAAAAAAAAAAAAAGAACAATAGAATTGATTTAATCTTAAAACAAGAGTATGATTTTTCTATTCGAAAAATAAGAAAATATGATTAATGATTTCTTCTTACCAGTAACAATACAAACAATTGATGGTAAATTATTCATTTCACTAGAACCATATTCTAAAAAGAAAAAAAAAAGCAAGGAAAAAATTTTTAATTTCATTATAAAAATAATTTTCATAACATACTTTTTAATGCATCAAATAATAATGCAAAATTTTCATCTTCACTCCAACTTGTACTACTTACAAGAATAGCTGGTCTATCTTGTAAACATACAATATTATTTGTCTCATCTTCTTTTGTAAATCTAGTTGAATTATTCGATCTATTTATTTAAAAAAAAAAAAAAAACGTTAATCTTAATGATTAAATATATCTTTTCTTTTTAAATATACCTTCCTTGAAATGATTGATAAGAATATTGTGTATTCATTTTCATAAATATTTGATGTTTTTCTTCTATTGTAGGAATATGAAATAGATTTGTGGGTTTATCATAAAGTACAGATGCTCTTCAAAAGACAAAATGAAATTATCGATTTATTTCTATCATATAGAAAAAAAAAAGGCAAACAATAATTTACTTAATCATATGAACACCAAGATCTTTTGCAAATGTATTCGATACACAAATATTAATATCAGCTAATTGACCAAGGAAAAATTCATATCGTTGACATAAATGAACAATCCAATGTTGAAAACCATGTTTCAATGCTAACATTGAATATCCATAATTATGCCAATCAATTATTAAACGAGCTCCACGAAGTTTTGCTATTAATAATGTTGCAAGTATAGCTGGAATTGATGGTGGGTTCTTAGGAAAAAAAAGATTTATATAAATAAATAAATCAAAATAATAAATTTTACTTGAACACAAATGAAATCAGGTTTAGGTAATTGACAAAGACGAATAATAAGTGTACCAAATTGCCATAATATTTTTAAACCATAAACTAATACGGCAGGTAAATCTTAAATTTTTAAACGAATAATTTAATATTAAATTTTGAAGAAATTTCTTTTTTTTTACCATCTAATTTTGGAAATGATTTTAGATCAGATATTTCAATATTTTGATTATTAGAAATCTTTTGGCCAAGTTTAGATTCTAAATAGAATAAAATATTTCTTATTTACTCGTCATTTATTCAATATCCTCATCATAGAAATAAAATCGGTATTGCATTTCAGATCGTTCAGTCGATCTTGTTAACCTTACTACTTTCGTCATATAAACTTATTCAAAACTTTTAGTAGAAAAATCAATAATGAAATTACAGTGAAAATTAACTATATCAAATAATACTATCCAAAGATCGAACGAGTACTGTTACGAATTTCAGATCGATCAATAGTGTCCTACGGGAACGATTTTTCTTAATTCCCATAAGACTACCAGACACTAATTTCTGTCAACATCATACTGTACGCAATTTAAAATAACCTTAAATTAAAAATAAAATTATCATTAATAATATATTTTAGTAAAATAAATCAATTATTATTCATACTTCGAAATTTGTGAACTTTAAGTTAAGAGAATTATTTTTTTTTTCGTCAATTAAACACACTTGAAAAGAAAAAAGCAAAAATACTATTACATCAACAAAAGCCAATGAAAGAAAAAAAACTGGAATTATTTAAGAAGAGAAGATAATAATAATGTTATATTGTCAGATAATTTGAATAATAGTTCTTTCAAAAGTGCTAATTATAAATAATCTATGAATTTTGTTTATTTTTTGTTGATAGATATTTGTTATTCTTCTTTTAATTAACAAGCAACACAAAAATCTTTGGAAGAATGTCGAAATCTATATCTCAACAATCTAACACCGGATAACTTCGACATATTTTTTTGTTCTTTCGAACAAAATTTAGAGAATATATACATAAAACAAAATGACTTTTTGGGAATGCCCATATACTAATATCATTCTGATTCTTGCAGAACACTACCGGTCAGTCTAATCTATTCAGACCAATTTCGTCACTGTCTTGTCACGTTCATTTATATGCGTATTTATTGACACAATACAAAACAGACGGACACCCCTCTTATTACTTTCTATTCTTCATTAAGTATTGATTCTTTATTTCTTCTTAAGTAGATGCTTTTCTTTGCCGGAAAACATATATTCAAGTGACCAACCTGCATAACCAATTAATTTTACATTAAATTTATGCTTTTCAAATTCAATAGCATGATTACACATGCGTGGACTTCGACCAAGATCACCAAGAACAACAATATGAACACATCTTTGTGTTGAAATATTTGGTCGACGTAATTTACTGACCAATATAATTATTCCAACAACAAGTAAAGCACACAAAAATGTTAACATTTATCTAAAATAGAATCAACGAAAAGAAACAACCAATTTTTATATACAGATTATTTTTGAGAAATGCATAAAAAGACATTTGTTTTTTTTTGTTATCAAATCCCAATTCGATTTTTTTTTAATCATCATCAATAAAGTTACATAGTTTCGATATTTTTTTACTTAACGGTTAAGTGACCGTCAAACGATTAATTTTTGAATACATGTATGTCTCGTCTTCCAATTCTCACTAGAGAAAGTTGTCTTCTCATTAATGAATAAATCGAAAGTGATGACAAACGTCGAGACATACAGTGGGTGTTCAAATGAGAACATGTGTCACCGTATCGGTCTGATGCATAATCACGCAAAGTTAGAATAGTAACAAAAAACAAAAAAAGAAGAAGAACAAAAAAAAAAAGAGTTCAATCATCAATTGTCAATCAGTTCATTGATTAAGTTTCCTACGTAATTCAAGAATATATTCTCGAGCAAATGAATAACATTGATGAAATTTATCTATTGAAAATGGTGCACCACTTGTTTTATGTATTAAACATATTTGATCATTTTTTAATAGAACATAATGTAAAATACATTTTGCTATATTTTCTTCTTCTAATGTTGGATCAATTAAATATTTATATTCTTGTTCATATTCATATACAGCTATTGTACAACATAATGGTTCTTGTTGTTGATTATATTGAAAATGTTTTAATTCTTTTGTATAAACTAATGGTTTTTGTGTATCAGGATCAATTTTAACTGTTGGAAAATATGTATGATGTAAAGCAACATTAAGAGCTAATAAACAACTATCAAATAAATTTCCATCATTATTTAAACATTGAAAATCAATTTGTAAACACCATACCCATTTACCTAAAAAAGAAAAATATCGAAATTATTTTTTTGTTTTTCTCCATAGAAATAAAAATTATATATATATATTAACCTTCTTCAATACATAAATCTTCTAAGTTAATTAATTTTGATTTATAAATAATATCAAGTAAATGTTGACTTAATGTTAAATTTTCATTAATAATTTGTTGTCTTCGACCATATGTTGACCATGCTTGTGTACGTGGTAATAAGACAACTGTTTGTATAAAACCTGATCGTAAAGATTTTAATGATGGTTTTGCTAATTGACCAGTTATTGAACATATAACAGTTGTATTACCAAAACGAATCATTGATGAACCATAGGAATGTTGAAGAAATTTTTTAAGTATTTGTATTGATCGATTTTCATGAAATTTTCGTCCATCGGGACGAGTATTATTATGTTCATCAAGATATGTTCGATAATGTTCATTTAAATCAATAAATTTTTGTAATTCTTCATAATTATCTATAGACATAATGAATCTAGAAAAAAAAGAAAACTAAAGTTATGCCCATTGGCTAAACATATGTTTGAAACTACTTGAACATCCATTTAGAGAATAAAGAAAAGTACTTTTATCCTTGAAAGAATGATCAATTACTAAATTCGATAGACATATCTTGAAATATAATTCATATTATATAATAAGACACAAAAAAATAAAAAAAAACAAAACGATATTCAACGATGCAGAATGTTTAATTGACAAGCGATTAAAAATATAGTTTATTATTTTTTTTGATCAATCGTAAAGGTTGTCTTGAACTTATCAGTATATGAATCAACTTGAGACTCGTTTAACGCTTGAATAGACTTTTGAAATTTAATCCTAACAAGTACAATAACAACAACAGCAAAAACATATATGTTATTTATCTATGGAAATTAAGAATGAAAATTGTGTATGTATATATGTAAAGTACAGTATTGTCTTTCCAATAGAGATATAGGTAAATGAACACTCATTATCAAAGATAGGAATAATCTTCTTATAAAGAAATGATTTCATTTTATTGTTTAAACAATTGTAAATTGTTCAAAATTCAACTGTATTGTTGATCATTAACTGACACGTGTATATTGATACGGATACGGGAAGAGAAAAATAAGAGAAAGAGAGAAATATCGTTTTGCTTATTTTCTCGTTTAATCAATGACCAATGTCCAACAAACATAGAGAGAGAGAGAGAACGAGAAGAGAAAAGATTGATCAGAAAAAAAAAAGAATAGAACATAATTCACAAGTAGTAACTAGAATCGATCGACTACTGTTTGTAATTCAATTCAATTATCCTTTGAAATTACAACACATAGATGCACAATTGAGGTATGTTTCATTGTCTTTTTTTTTTCTTCTTTTTGAAGTTCATCTTTTTTTTTTCTACGTGTGTGCACAAATTTAAATGTTTCGAAGTGTCAGATTGTCTTTTAATCAATCTATTATCATCGTTTATTAATAATATTTCGATTACATCATAAATATGTCTAGAAATATTATAAAATTAGATTTTTTTTTTTTGTAATTTATCGCAATATATTTGTGTCTATTTTTGCTATTTGAATATTAGAACAAAAGATAGAAAGTGTCTACTAGTCATTAGAAGAAAGTCGTTGTTTGTATATGTACATAAATGACCTTTTCTAATTCTCGCTTCATATATATATATATGTATGTTATTCTTTCGTTTTACCTCTTTATGAAAAATTTCCTCAGGGAAAAAAACATTCAACTTAATATATAGGAAGTAACATTTTAAAATCGGAAGAAATTGACAGTGATAATTCATTTTCTCATTTTAACAAACAACTATTAAATAGAATTAATTCATTTTTACTATATAGAAACAATAGACTGATATATTGTCAAGTTTTTATAAATGAGCTTAAAAAATAACAATACGAAAATGTCAAAGTTCATTAATGAGCTTATTTTTTTGTTACTATCTCATAGTTTGTTCAATACATGATATATGCTCATCAGTTAACTATAGAAAATGAAATATTCGTTTTTAATCTATATTTTATCTGAATAGCTTTATCATACTCTTCTATCATAGAAAATACATTTTCTGCTACGTCAAACATTCATTGAGAGAAAAAGAAAAATCATTGTTATGCCAAACATCATTTATCAATAGACAAAAATGATGATGGTCAAAAATGATTAGAATGTTAGGATGCTACACTTGGCATGTTTTTATCTAAATAACAACAACAATAATAATAATAATCATAATAATAAACAATTACTCAATGTGCTAATCAGTTTTAGATGACATATTGCCTATAACATAAGACATAGACAGACAGTAACTAGTCGATTGATAATCTTTTATAGTTAACTCAATCAGTTGCCGAAAGGGTCAGACGAAACACATGCACGCCCAATTACATAAGATAATACATAGATAAAAAAAAAAGGAAGAAAAGACAATATTGTCGTTGTTTTTTCATCAATAGAAAATATTTATATAGTAGTTAATTACATCAAAAGAAAATAATATGACTAGAAATACTTTAATTTTCATCTATCATGAATATTTATAAACTTGCATATTTGTTTTCATATTGTTTAACATCAAATTTTCGTTTACATCCTTCATAATTCATATAACGAATTTTACCAAAAACTGGTCGTTCTTTCCAACCTTGATCATGAATTCCACAACTTAGATAAATAAAATTAATAATATTAAAATAAGAAAATTATCAATCATTTCTTACATGCTCCACATAATACCAACATAACCATTTGGATCACGTCCATCAAGATTATATTTATCATTTAAATAAATAGCTATATCAAGTGCTTCTTCAGGTGTTTTTGTCCATTCGAGAATTTTTTTTGCCCAATACATACGTAAAAAACCATGCATTTTACCTTCTTTAATCATTTGAATTTGTGATGCATTCCATAATTTATCATATGTTCGAGCATATTCAAGATCATCACGACTATATATATGTGTTCGTTTATCATTTCGATGATCATTTAAAGTTTTTTTTGCCCATTCCCATGCACCATTAATTGTATCATCTTTAAAATAAATATTAAACAAAGATTAGATTGTTTCTTTATTTTTCAACTTACAATTTTCTTGATAAAAACAATAATTATCACTTAATTCTCTTCGTACAAATGCTTCTTCAATAAATGAATCACAAGCATCTTTAAATTTTGGTCGTAATTTTGCTATTATAAGTAATGCACGTTGTGGACTTATTTGTCCATAATGAAACCATGGTGAAAGATTTGATAAAACATCTTTATTTGGATCATTACGTCTAAGAGCAAAATTCATAACACGTTCATTGATAAATGTTTCTAATTGATTTATTCCACCAGTATAACCTATATTAAAAAGAAACAATAATTCTTCTCTATATTTTTTTCTAAGAGATGAAAAAAAAAAAAACAACGAGATTTTTTTTTTTTACCAGGAATAGCCCAAGAAACTTCCTTAATAGTTCGATCAACTTGTAAATTATCATCAACTGCTTGCCAATCAATAGGTTTTATTTGATAATCATTAGATGATGTATATGGATGTTTAATAATTGGAGGATATTCAGTAAAAAATTCATTCATATGTTTATGAAGTTTATTTCGTATTGTACGTGCACCATATTCAAGTTTAGTTGATGCATGCCAACAAGGTACAACATTATGTGCATCAACCTATGACACACATATATATATAAAATTTTATTTTTTAAATATTTGTTAATTTACTTGTACAATAGGTATTGTTGTAATTTTTTTTGCAACATTTTCTAACCATTGACGTGATATACGTAATGGTGAAAAATCTGTAATTATTGTTCCAACTTTATAATTTTCAATAAATTTTGGTAAAATATTTTCAGCTTGACCAATTAATAAATGAAATATAATATTTAATTGTTGACATTCTTTTTCAATTTCATGTAAACCTTTTAACATAAAACGATAAGCACGTATTGGTGCAACTAAAAATGTTGGTACTAAACAAAATACAATATGTAATGGAAGTTGTTGTTTAAGTGCAAGTCTTTGTGCATATAACATAGCCCAATTATCTTGTATACGTTGATCACGTGACATCCAATAAAGTATTATTTGAGAATCTTGTGGAATTATATTAATATTATTTATTGGACGAATACGATTTTTATTAAAATTAAAATCGAGAATATTTGAACAAATATTTTTTCTAATATGATCAATAGCTAATTGAAGAGGCTTTATAGTAAAATAATCGATTAGATTTGTATTTGTTTTTGTATTAGATATTTTTTGAGCTAAATTATTCTTTTGTTCTTCTTCTTCTTCTTCAATATCATCTTCTTTTTCATTTGTATTATTATCAGATTCATTAGTTTTTTTCTCTCGTTTCTTGCTGACTTTTGACATAGTTTCTTTACGTTTGGACATTTTCTTTTTTTTTTTTTATGTTGTTTCTTGTCTAAAAATAATAAAGAACATTATCTTTTTTGATATATTCAAATTTAATGATATATGTAGATGTAAAACAAGCTGAACGAATGCATCTAATCAGTTGTATATGCACTTCTCCTCCATTCATTGATCAGATTGAAGAAACAAACGATGAATGAACGGCATTCGATTTGACGTGTGTACACTCGATGCATACTTATCGTTCTTTTGTTTTACTACGAATCCAACCATCATCATTGATGCATTCATTAAGTCTCGTAAACTCTTGAGAAAGTAAGTTCATAAAACAATAGGATAGATTAGAACAGAAGATTTTTATGTTGACCTCTTTTTTTTTTATCTTGTACAGTAATTGATTATAAGTGCTATTTTATTCTGGTATGATTGAAAAAGAGTAAAAAAAAAAAAAAGAAAAAAAGATTTCCTTTCTTTTGATGACTACCTTATATTTCTTTTAAATTTTTAATAAATCCGACAAACACAAAGATATACATACATAAATATATTACATTGCGCATGTGCAATGTACGTCTCAAGTAGCAACCATATGTCAACTTATGAGTTTGTATGCGTGTGTGTGTGTATGATGCAAACCTTAGAAAAGAAAAATCAAGTGTTCACTCCGGTCAACTACTCTCTGAATCCGATCAAAAAAAAAAAAAACGAGAGAGAAATTATTTGTCCTCAGCATCGGAAAGAAAAGAACTCTGAAAACAATTGAATGTGTCGATTAGTTTGTATATGACGAGCCGAAACTTTTTTCTTTTTTATTCTATTCTATTTGATATTAGTAATTGTTACATAAGCAAACAACAAGCTAAGAAAATGAAAGAAAGAATAAGTAAAAAGTTTACATTTGTGGGACATCTTTATGTCGATTCAAACAAGACGATTAGAACAATATTTGAAGAACAACACAAGAAGAAGAAAAGAAGAAGACGAGAAAAAGCGAAATAGAATTATCAACAAAAGATTATCATTATCATTTAAAATATCTTGAAAAGATTTTCATTCTTTCTTTATAATTAAGTAAGTTTTCTTTTCTTATTTTTTTTTTGTTTTTTTTTGAATAATCATCATTGAGATGAATTACTTGTAATTGATCTGTATATAAACAGAGAATACTTTTCTTTCATGGTCTTCAATATATAAACACACACGCGAATATTTTCTTTTCCTATTGAGTGTCGGCTTCCAATTTACACGAATGTGTGAAATCGAAACTGGACCTATTTACTTTTCGATTGTATATGTGATTGAAATATGTTCAAAAGAAGAAGAAAAAAAAAATCTAGAAAGCTAAATTGATTTTGTTTCTATGTTATTCATATTATAGAGATTTATAGATATATTCTATGTTTCAAAGAAAGTTTATATGTGTGCTTATTTGTCTGTTGACAAAACAGATGAGTAGAATTGAGTAATCCAACGCACGTACACATCTGTTTTTTTCATGCCGACACAACTTTCTGTTTTTTTTTTTTTTTCTTCAATGTATCAGTGCAAAAAAGAATAAACGTCAAATAGGACGACAAACATCCTCATATTCTTTTTTATTTCTTAAGGGTAAAAAGAATAAAAAAATAAGAATACAAGGCCAGATATTAAATGAGCAATTATATATATATAGAGAAGGTATAGGCAACAGATCGTTCAGGCAAGTTGCTGCTATTTATGCATGAATCGAATGTCTCAAGGAGTTTCTAATCGATGCAAATTAGGGATACTTTAGTGTGCAACATATTTTTTTTTTTTGCTCTGTCTCTTCTCCTATAAGAAAAAAGTTAACATTGAATCGTCTAAACGTGCTTATAATTGTAATGAGGAGATGATCAAATATAAATATATATATATATATGTATGCATGTGTGTGTGTATGGATATGCTTACAATAAAAAAATGTATCTGTTATAAATATATAAACATTGAATAAGAAAATAGTCTTTAAATACGAAGGCCAGTAATTCTTTTTTTTTTTTTTTTAATACATTTTCTTTCAAGACCTTATCTAATGAACCGTATGCCGTTTTACACGTCATCAAAAATGTGTAATGGTTGCAAAGCATAGAAGAAATTGATAATTAGACAATCTTCATCGTCTGAACATATATATATATATATATATATACTTGCACATATAATATAGAACAATTGTCAACTCCCCTTCTTTTTCTCTCTTCTTTTTAACGGTAGCTATTAGTGAATGAAATAAAAAAATAATAATCAAATCGTATGACAATGACAAAAGGAAAACTTGAAAGCAAAAGTAGTCATAGTTGAAACAGATTGCGCGCACCATTGAAAAAAGAAAGAGGTAATATATGTGTATATGTGTGTGAGAAAAAGACATAGAGACGTTAAACATATTGAACGGTTCTATAAAAAGAAAGAGTATATATGTTGCTTATTTATGTATATAAGAACTATAATAATAGTCGATGAAAAACCTATTTAAAATCAAGGACTGTATCGAACGAATGAAAGAAAAAGAAAGACCAATATGTTGACCGACCAATATTATAGTTGTATATATTATAGTAGGTTATTGATTATTTTTTTACTCAAAAGATGTGAAGATGACACGTGCTCTATAATTTTCGTCTCTCTCTATCTATCTATCTGTGTATATATATATATATATACATATCTTTGTATGTACATATTGAATATTTGTTGTCTTCCTTTTTATTTTTTTTTATATCGATCTATACATATCTATACTTCATTAAATCAAAACTGACCGACTTTATTTTCTTTTCTTTTTTTTTTTTATGCGCGTGCGTATATATATGTAAGTATCCAATAACTTGAGTTAGAACAAAGTAGGATTAAAGACTCTTCTCTCAATTTGATTAGAACGAATAGGAATATTGGCCTATCATCATCTCACATTGCGTCTTTTTATTAGAAATATCTATATATGGCTAGACAGTAGAATCACATACAAATACATGTTAATTTCTATTACCATGATTATTATTTAAAAGGAAATGAAAGAATAAATGACTAAGGCTATTTGTAATTCTCACACATATACAAATATATACATATGTATATATGTATATGTATACATAGATCATCACTTGTCATCATTAACGGAAATACCTTCGCCTGTCAAATGACAATAGAGGTAAGTAAAATGTCTGTACATAAAATATGAAAAGAAACATGCGTTTCTACTTAATTCAATGGAAAATAAAGAAATACATGTAGCGATAATGAAAACATCATTTTTCTATTATTATTCTTGAGTTTTTACATATATATACAAAACATGTCTAAGTATCTGTCATACTTTCACACTTTCGAAGTTTAATCGTTATTGAGTTCGATTAACATGATGCAACATTTACTCAAATGGCCACCTTTATTCATTTCTATACATATACATGCATACACAAACAGCAGGCACTTGTCACTGATTGACTATGAGTGGTCTCTTCGACTGCATGCTTCTATAGCAGCAGGATGAAGAGACATACCATGTAAACATTTCACATTAACAATCTCCTTGTATGATACAATACAATAGAGAGAGAAACAGACAGATAGAGAAACAACCTTCATTACTGATTATTTCGAATAGACTTTTTACTTATATATTGTAATCTCTTGATAGCATGCTATGACGAATAATGATTAGGCAAATTAGAAAAGACTAAGGTCTATCTTTTCTTTTTTTTTTATATATATCATATCATATCATATAACTTATTGTTTTGAAAAGACCTTCAATCATCTAAAAAAAGATAATGTTGATTTGTAACGGCTCAATGATTTAGACGTTAAAAAAAAATTATATTATACTAGAAGAAAAAAAAACGATCACCTGCTAGGAAAACGAGAAGAAGCAGAACAATAATAATAACAACAACGAACATCACTCTTCTTCTTCTTCTTCTTTGCTTCTTCATTCTCTCTCCTTGTTCTCTAGTGAATCGAACCTCATCAACATCAAGATGAGTTTAGTTGATTTCCAGCTGTTTCTTCTTCTTTTTCCCTAGAGAGAGAATAAAGATGCGTTTTCTTCTTCTTCTTCTTCATCGTCTTCTTTTCTACGTAATGACATTCGGAATGTATACACTATATAGACGCAAGTATTTCTTCTGTTTCGTACGAAAGTGCCATCATTAATCGACACATTCTTATTCAGCAAAAAGAAAAGAAATCACTTGACCACGAATATAAAGATGTCACATATAACGATTGATCGATCCATTTATTTTCTTACTGAGGAAAAAAAGAAAAATATAATTGCCAGCTTTCTTCTTTTTTTTTGCCGAAGTATAATTAGAAAGAAACTATAGTTTTCGTTAAAAAAAAATTATATATGCTTATCTATCGAAGTGCATATGACATAATCATTCGCTGACCGTTTACTTAGTTTGATGGACATTGTGCATGCACTCACGCGCGTCTCTCTCTTCCTTTCGATTATGTAGATAGTGAATTATTCATCATTGTTGTAATTGAACACAATCACAATGTTCATGCACACACGCATATGTTTAGTTTAACAAAGGTACTATCATCTTCGATTTCCGCAACAATCGTTCTGTGACGAGTCTCTCAAGAATACAAGAACGAGATCAGTAACAAGCTCATGTCGCCAAGGCTGAGGGTGTCAAAATCCATCTATCGCTAATGCAAATAAGCACTCTTAACAGCAACTGCTTGTTTCATAATCAATAGCGAACACGTAACGAATAGGGAGGAGAGAGAGGGAGAGAGAGAATATACAAGTAAGCAAGGGATGAACAGGATATGACAACATTAAATACACTATAATAAACATCAGTATAAAGAGAATAAAAAAAAAGCCTTGAACAATCAGAAACTTTTCTCTTTGTCTCTTTTATTTCATTTTTTTTTTCATCTTATTATTCATTGTACTAAATTTGTCATTTGTAGATAATCATGATTATTCGGCATATTTATTATTCATTGTTCATGTTAATACAAATATATACATTATTTAAACAAATTTCCAGTTGTCCTATTCCATTTAATATTCAATCAAAATGTCGATGTGCTATAACTGAAACAGGTCGTGTTTATATTTATTGTGCACGAAAACAATTAACTGTTGTACCACATTTTGATAATAGTAAGTTAATTTAACAAAAAAAAAAAAAAACAACAACAAAATCTATTCGAATTTTATTTTAAGGCAATATTATTTTCGATGAACTAGTTCTATCCGGTAATCGAATATCTATTGTACATAAAAATGCTTTTAATGGTTTAAAATTACGTAAACTTGAATTTCAATCAAATCCAATAAATTTAATTGAAATTAATGCTTTTATTGATTTATCAAATTATTTAGAAGAACTTATTTTATCAACAACAATATTATCATCATCATCATCAGAATTAAAAACAAATACATTTCTACAAATATTATCTGAATTACCAAATTTAAAACGTTTATTTTTACGTTCATTTGATTTATCAAATTCATTTAATTTTACAAATAAAAAATTAATTTTAACATCAAAAAAATTAACTCAATTATCATTACAATTATGTTCAATTAAACAAATTAATGATATTGATACATTTATTAATTTATTTCCAAATTTAGAACGTTTAGATTTATCTGAAAATCGTTTTGAATATTTTAATATTCCATTAATATTATCATTGAAAAAATTAAAAATTTTAATTTTAAGTAAAAATAAAATTCATCATTTAAATATTCAATCATCAATATCATCATTAACATTTCATCCATCAAATTCATTAATTGAACTTGATTTATCTTATAACGGTAAATAATAAATTTCACTTAGAAAAGTTTTTAAAAAATTGAATTCATCGGATAAGTTTCGGATCTCAAAAAAACAAAAATCGTTCAATAAATTGGATCGTAAAACTAAAAATTTTAGATCCAATAGGTTCTAATCTAAGATGATAATAGGATAATTTATTTATAACTTAATCATAGATGATCCACCAGAGAGCAATTGCTACGTCTAAAAAGGAAGTTTATCGATAGTATAACAAAAGTCCGAGTACGCTCTAGTATTTAATACGTGTTACCAAATCATGCTAATTATTTAGTCAAAAATATGTTTCTCACTATTTTTAAAAACACGATCCAATTTATTGTCATACTTGGAATTCTATTGCTGACCCACCAATTGGCTCAATCAGAGATTCTATAGTCATTTTGAGTTCTTCTTGAATCATTCTAATTTTAAGTAGACAGCTGCTTGAAGAAATAACAATACGCATAAAAAAAAAGCTGAGAGTATCTGAAGTAGTGTTAGTGGTTTTTCAAAAGAAAATTGGGTTTTTTTTTCCTTGGAACTTCAAATCTTGATGAACATTTCTAATTAAAATATGATCAAGAATGCGAAATAATATCTGGCTTGTCAGAAACTATTAAAAATTTTAAATATTCAACAAATGTTTGCTAAACAATTTTCATATCTCACAAAATAAATTTCAAGTTTTTCCTTTTTTTTTTTTTTTTGTATTTAAAACTAAATGCAAATGATTCTTGATAAATCTTTTGAAAAAAAGAAATAATTTATATGTTTGCTTTTTGTATAGGTATTGAAACTATAGATGAACATATATTTGAATTAATATCTTCACAACTTGAAATATTAAATTTACGTAATAATGAATTAGTAACTGAAAAACATTTAACATTTCTTATTCATTTATATCATTTACGTGAATTTTATTTTGATTATAATCGTCTTGAATCAATTAATCAATTATATTTACCATTAAATTTAAAATTATTATCATTAAAAAATAATCGTTTAAATTATATTAATTTATCTATATTAACACGTCTTGGACATTTAGAAAAATTATATTTATCATCAAATAAATTAACACAATGGTCATCAACAATAAATAATATATTTCCATCATTAGAAATTCTTGAACTTGATCGAAATTATTTATCAATTATATCATCATTAAATGCACCAAAATTAAAACAATTAAATTTAGATGAAAATCATTTAGGAAATAAAATAGATAAAAAAATTTTTTCAAATTTACCATCTCTTGAAAGACTTCAATTACGTGATAATCAAATTGAAATTATTGATACAAATGCATTTCGATATACTCGTTTACAATCACTTGGTAAGAAGACAGAAAAATAAAATCAAAAGTATGAAAGAGAAAATTGTTTTTTTTCTTTTTATTTTTTAAATAGATTTAACAAATAATAGTTTAACAATAATTCCTCTTTTAAATCATCTTAATGAAACATTACAAATTTTATCTCTTCGACTTAATCGAATACATACAATTGATTCATTGACAATAAATTATTATCAAATACTTCATACACTTGAACTTGATCAAAATCCATTAGATTGTAATTGTCAATTAAATAAAAATATTCAAGATTTATTTCGTTTAAAAATAAAAATAACTGGTCAATGTCAAACATCATCTGAACATGGAAATATAAATCTTATTGATTTATCTGATGAACTATTATCATGTCATTTAATAAATTTATCTCAAAATAAATTTTTAACAAAAATTGAACAAAAATTAACAACATTAACGACTAATACAACTACATTAAAGACAACGAGAGCGAATATGTAAGTTTTCTTATCAAGAATTAGAATCTAATATTTTAAAATACAACTATTTTTACTACTGACTATTATAAGAGCATATCTGGAAAGATTAGTTAAACCCTAGAAGAAAAAAAAGATACCAGCAAAAAATTGTTAACATGTCGTTTTTCATTATCTGACATATTCTTTCCATGTTTTCAGCTATTCTTAGATCTAAATCAAGTCACAACGCAAGGATTAATTTGAATTGTAGCTTTTCACTTACGAGAGAAGGTCATCAGATGATTAAAAGCTTTTGAGCCCACATTGTGTGTAATCGTGGTGAGTTGATAGATTAGAATATCCTATAAATGGTTCGTGCTGACATTAACATTTTACCAAGATATTGTTGTTTTAGCGGATTTTTTCCTGTCTGCATCTTTTTTTTTTTCGATAAAATCCTACTGTAGAATTTTGGCTTGAAAAGTGTATTCGGATAAACGTCTCAGTGAGACTTGTTTATGCATAAAATTTCAGAAATTTTTGATCGAATATCTCTGAGATATGAATTTTTCAGATTTCAGGAGGTTTTCCATTGATACCATGTGGAAGAAGCATATCTCAGAGATATTTCAACTCTAAAACTTCTGAAAATTTTATGCATAAACTAGTCTCATTTTGAGACCTTTGTCTAGACAAAGTTTGTAGGTCAAAATTCGACAAAAGGATTTTTATCGAAAACTTAGGTTCATACAGAGATAATTCACTAAAAAATCAATATCTCGATTAAATTCGCTAGGTAGAATATAGGCTCAAAAGCTTTTTATCATCTGATGACCTTTCATCATTAGTCTATATTCCTATAAAATTATATTCTCATTAACAATCATATAATTACTTAGTTAAACCTTGCCGTATAATTAATAAAAAAAATCACTACTATCGTTTTTGATGTGCCATTGATGATTAACCTTCTTAAACAAATGTACATTGACCTCGTGTTTTTCCTTATTTCTTCTCTTTGAATGAAGTATCATTAACATAAATATAATTCTTATCTTAAACAAAAAAATTTCGTATTTATCTTTTAGAGTTGAAGAACTTGTTGAAAATTCTCTTGAACAACAACAACAACAATTTTCTTTACCAACAACAACAACAACAACAACTGAAGAACAAATATTAGAACGAATTCGTATATCTGATTTAATAATAACACCAATAAATGATAAATCTCAATTA